TCAAGATATATATATACAGGCCCAAATATAATCCCTTTGCTAAATTCCAATATAAAAGGGAATGTAGGAAAAGTGATCATATATTTTGCCTAATCTTGAGTCTGTCTGTCTGTCTGTCTGTCTGTCTGTCTGTCTGTCTGTCTGTCTGTCTGTCTATCTATCTATCTATCTATCTATGGAAAATTTATATACGGGCTCCAAATTCTTATTCAGACATTGACACATGTCAAAGTTTCATAAAGACTGATCAACCTGACTGATCTGACAACCCAACTTCATCCTTTATGGTTCTCATCTGAATAGTCAGAAGCAGTGTTTTTTAAATTAGTCCGCCTATGTTGAAATAATAATACAGTATTAAAATACCATCAAATAATCATGAGAAGAAGTAGAAGCAGTGAATGTTTCAGTTTTAATCTTTAATATGATAAAATATCAACAAATATAACCAATACAAAGGAAAAGTTTGTGAGGTCCTCCATAATTTTTAAAAGTGGGAGGGTGTTCTGAGATGAAAAAAGTTTAGAAAACACCAAACTAAAGGACTCTGATCAAGGAATACACAAACTGAAAAATAAGATATTATTTAAGAGCCTTCAAAAATGTTTCTTCAATTACAAAAATCATTATTCATTGTAAAAAATAAACAAGTGGTTAGCTCTAAATATACAACAAAATTATTTAAAATGTTTTAATTGTAGACTGTTCAGAATTGCTCTGTGACGGTGATGGACAGTCTCCAAATTTTTATATATACAGGAGATTTATAGATGTTTTTGCTTTGTATGAAAAATTCACTGATTTCATAGGAGTCTGATTTGGAAAAAAGTTGACTATGATCCAAGAGAACATAATTATATTGATATGTTTCTTGTTTTATAAGTGAATACAGGGTACAGAACTGATTATGCATAGTGGTCCTTGCTTTGTCAATGTAAAATCAAAATATTATTTAAAATTTAAAGAATTGTTTTTCTAAGCTGATCTTGTCCATTTCTTTTCATATGCAATGAGATGGGTTACAATGTTGTTCCAATGTTCAAAGTTTCTGCCTATTGCCCTTTGTAGCCATCACATCCTGCAAATAAATTCTACCCCTTTGACGACACGCAAAAGGGAAGAGCGCAATGGCTTGTCCAATTATATGAATGCAAGTTCACCTGTATAAAATCGTATGAAGTGTATTAAACTTGTCACAAGTATCTATATAATTAGTTAGACTTATGGAAGTTCCTTGGAAACAAAATAAACTTCTAAAAATGGTTTGCAAACTTCTAAAAAGCACAAATAGCACAAAACACCTTTTGGACTTGTGCTGGAGCCTATCCTCAGGGAATTTCTGAGGAATATGTCTCATCTGCTGTATTAAAAATAATCTTGATCTAACTAACGGTGTCTGTTCTTAGTGATGAGAAATGGCATTGTGGGTAGAACTGGACTCAGCGTTTTGCTAAATTTATGATATTTAATGTCAATAAATAAAATGAGTCACTTCATCTTCTATTATTAGGTCAAATTTCAAGAAAATTGAGGATGAATAAAGTCTCAAAAATGCAAGATGCTATTATACATGAACTAGATTGTATAGGAACAGTCCATAATGATTTTTATTGCATGTATTTTCTTCAAAAAATACTAAGAAATTAGCCATAAGAAATGGATTAAATCAGTGGTTCTCAACCTTTTTAATGCTGCGACCCCTAACCAGTCGTAAGTCGAGGACTACTTAACCAGTCGTAAGTCGAGGACTACTCAATTGGTGCAGCACCGTTTGCAGAATGGGACTTTTGGCAGGCTCAGCAGGGCAGAGACAGCCTGGACAATTCCTATTGGCTTTTGAAAGCCAATAGAATTAGACTCTATTCAAGAGAGTCTATTCTATTGGCTTTCAAAAGCCAATAGAATAAAAGGGAGTAGCACAGCTAAGGAAAAGGGGGGAAAAATGGCGGACTGCATTGTTTGGCGACCCCCGTGAAATGGTCATTCAACCCCAAATGGTCCCGACCCACAGGTTGAGAACCACTGGATTAAATGAAAAGAACACCAGTTCACTGGAGAACAGTCAACTGGAAGTGATAGAAGACTGATCTAGACTGAAAACTTAAATCCGGTGTGTAAAAGATTGCAAGCAGAAAGAGTCAAGTACGAGTTTTCATTGGAAACAATATCTGCATTTTTAATTCTTCAACAGTTTAAGGCCAAGAAAAATGTTTAAGAAAAAAATGTATTCATCAAATTGACGCTTCTGTGTTACCCTAGTATTCATATCACAAGTCTTTCTCTTTTAATGAGACGTAGTTGGCATATTATATTTAATGTCTCTGAATGATATATTAAGCTCCCATTCAATTTTGTGAATAGAGAAACAGTTTGAACTCTCAATGGAGCATCAAAAAAAAAAAACCTTCAGTAGACAAGTACTTGAACAGCACTTTCTGTTATAAAACATTCTATAGTTCAAGCACTGAACAGAGATTATAATTCGTTCCCTTTAGCATACAGACATACCTAGCATCCTATTCATTTTTGGAGAAACATGATGCAAATGCAAATAAGTAAGAAATAATAAGGAAAAAAAGATTAATAACATCAGAAAAAAAGAAAGTAAAATTAATTTCTACCATTGTTCACTGTACTTCTCCATCCTTTTCTATCCTTACAAACTATTCTTGATTCCACCAAGTATCATCAATTCATACACTACCTTTTTTCTTTAAATAACCCGTCTCTCTCTTTGAGGATCTCATCAAGTGAACCCAGTTGCAATGTTGGGTTCTCCCCTTCGCCCACTCAGGTTTGAGGATGCAAATCAGGTCTGCTCAGTCATCCACAATCCAATTATGGATGAGAACAGATTTGCTGATAGACTTGGCATTAAGTAGCAGCACTTGAAACAAAGTTTGTCAAATAACCCACCAGCTTTCCTCTTGAGCAAGGGAGCTGGAAGAGGGAGCATATCAAGAATAACTTCTTGGAAGTTTAGGGAGAAGAGTGAAAAATTTGGGGACACATGTAATATTTGTTGATAGTAAAACTCCAGCAAGACAAAGAGTAACTTTTCAAGTTGCAGAGTTAGTGCAAGCAGCAGAGGCAAAACTAAGACGGGGAAGTGCATGTTTGGACAATATTAATTTCACTAATTTTCCTCGATTTTTCATCATAAGCAATAAAATGAGCTATGCTTTTCTGTGCTTTCCTTTTCCATGTGTATGCATAGAGACATATTATGTTTAAACAAATGTTTCTAAGCAGATAATTACTGAAATTAGTAAAGTCAACATTCCCTTTCATTTTTCGGTTTCTGAATAGCCAGATATCTTTGCCCATGCTCTCTTGTCTAGTCCACACACACCCTTTTCGTTTTCCATCTATTCATGTCACCTGTTCACTTTCTTCTTTTTTTCAAAAACCTCATCCCTGGTTTCTTTCATTTTTGCCATTTACTGGGGCGTAATATAAAATTCGCACAAATGTATGAATTCCTACTTTCATAAGCATGCACAACTGTCTAGATGACACCAGTCATACTTTTTTCAAACCCTTTAATTTTTTTCTTTCTTTGATTTCACTGCTTTTCTTTTCCTCCTTTATTAATTCCATTCTGTAAAATCAGACCTTTCATTCAGATCTGTACCTCTTTCCACCATCTGTTCATTTTGTATATGTGCATTGTATATATTTTCTTTCTTTCCTTTCAGTCAATGTTATTTTTTTGCCATTTACTTCTCTTACATCATAATTATCCATTTATGCGTTTAAAAGACATATATGGCCACCCATGTTGAATAGCCTCAGTTGATTCATTCATTCTCAGAATTAGAGAATAGAGCTGGAAGGGACCTCTTCTAGTCCAACCCCCTGCTCAAGCAATTTCAGACAAGTAACTGTCCAGTCTCTTCTTAAAAAACCTCCAGTGATGAAGCATCCACAACTTCTGATGGCAAGCTCTTCCAGTGGTTAATTGTCTTCACTGTTAGAAAGTTTCTCCTTAATTCCAGGTTGCTTCTCTCCTTGATTGGTTTCCATCCATTGTTTTTTGTCCTTCCCTCTGGTGCTTTGAAAAATAAATTGACCCCCTCCTCTTTGTGGCAATCTCTCAAATACTGGAATACTGCTATCATGCCCCCCCCCCAGTCCTTCTTTTCTCTAGACTGGCCAAACCCAAATCCTGCAACCATTGTTCATATGTTTTTGTCTCCAGGCCTTTAATCATCTTAGTTGCTCTTCTTTGCACTTTTTCCAAAGTCTCAACATCTTTTTTGTAATGTGTTGACCAAAACTGGATGCAGTATTCCAGGTGTGGTCAGGTGTTAAGAAAGATGACTCCCGATGAGTCACAACAGTTGAATAAAATCAGTGCTGCACTGGTAAATGTTTGCCATCTTCATTGCTGCTGCCATGTTGCTACCCCCAGAACAGGTAATCAACACACTAGGCATTATTTAGTAGTTCAGCTTTGCTGTCAGTTGGTTTGCGGAATTCCCCAGAATTTAACAATTGGCTCACACTACTCTATAAACATAGCAATTTAATAAGCTATGATTGTTACCCAACAAATTCATATATGTTGACCTCCTTTGCCCTTCATAGTTTTGGTCAACAGAGGGTTTTATATAATTTTTTTTAGTAATATATAAGAAGAATAGACTGGATTGTTGGCCATAATCATACCTGCTCCACATGGAAATTCCTTGATAAATGGAAGGACATGACACCAGTCAGTTTTGGCCAATGTGTAGCGTAACCAGTTTGACAACAATCATGCTCACGTTAGAATCTCTCATCTAGCTTGCAGACCACCACACCATCGCCTTTGACCGATCAATAATCTAGAAAACTCTTTTGGTATACTGAGACTAGTATTGATTAAATGCCATATTTCTCTCCTTTCTAAATCAAGTATTTGTATAAACTAAAGTATATTGATAAATTTCTTAAGCATAGATCTAATATTGTATTTTCACCTAAATTTATTTTTTCTACCATTTTTTAAAGCACAGAACCGTTAAACTTCGTAGACAACCAATTGGCGGCTTGGGCTTAAGTATAAAGGTATGCATAATTTTATAATTATATTGTTTTGTAACTTATAGTGCATAAAACCAATTTTATTTTTATAATCTCTTTCAGGGTGGTGCTGAGCATAAAGTGCCTGTTGTTATATCAAAAATACTTAAAGACCAAGCAGGTAAAGCAATTATTTATTTGCATAAGCAACATTTCATGAAAATGCAATAATTAAATGTTGATACTTATTGCAATGAATAAAATATTTTAAAGATAAAAAGTACTTAATTTGTCCGTCCATCTATTTTGGTTTATTATTCATCTATATAGTTCTGTTGTATCCATCTTCTACTGATTTCAAATTGAAAACCAAAAAGCTATTTTTGGCCCATTTTATTGATGTTTTCCATCTATAGAGCATTGTATTATTTACTCTTCCAAGATATTCAATTTTCTAAATTTCAAACAGACTGACTTTAAAGCCCCAATTTTATAGGCAATTAAACAAAGTCAAATATAATTGTAGGAGTTGTGGTATATAATAGGAGTTCCACCTGCATTTCTCTCTTTATTCCTGTATATGTTACTTTCTGTTAGCATAAATTGATCTACATTCTACTACAGCCTCAATTATTTTTCACTTATTTTTAAAACCAATGAGCATGAATGAAATTTATTAAAACTGTTAGGTTCGAACAGAATATTAATCTATAGGAGGATACATATATAAAACAAGCTGCCTGAAAAATGAATGGACACGCTTTATATCTCGACATGCCAGTTATTTTCAGAATAGACAATTGCAGTTTTCATTCACTGTGCAAGCAAGCATACATATGCACACACAGAGACATACATACATATATAAATATATCAAATTCTATTGTACATGTATAGTAGAAATTTCTCATCTTGTCACTCTGAAACAATGCTGTCAAGTAGGAGGGCAATTTAGTGATGGACATAGCTATATCACAAGAAATTGCATGGAATATAACATAAAATTAAGTAGGGAATATGTTCTGTGTAGAATCTGCCCAAAGTAGTTATTAGCAACTTTGGAAAAAGAAATATCATTTATATTAATCAGAGGATACACAACTTTTTAATAACCAACAACAATGCCTAACCTTTCTAGGAGTTCAGAAGTTATGAGCTACATGAGATATGGAGACTGAGGAGGGAATTCTCAAGAACTGGGCTTTATGCCTACTGTAGAGTTTTGGTCAAAGGACCTCCAAAGGCCAGAAAAAGAGGTCTTTCTGTTTGGTCATTCATGTTACAAAAATATTTTTGGGAAAAATCGCAAGAAGCTTAGAATGCTCACAGAATGTACCATTATGAACACAAATGAAGAAAGTTTAAATGAAAAAAGCAAATTTCAGACAAAATTTCAGAATATAAAGAAAGCATTAACAACATAATCATCATCATCATCATTGTCTAAAAGAGTTTCTTTTTTTAAAAAAAGTAATAAGTGTGGTCCCTAAAGAGTAACATCATCCCAGAAGGATGCTTAAAGAAAAAGGATTTTTATTGAAACTTAATACATTATTCTGACATACTGACTTCTGATTTGTTTAAGAAGTGAAGTTGTATTCCTGAGGACAATCTATATTTGCATTCATTTCCTTCAGTCTTCTTCAATTGTGTTAACATCGTCCTAAATTGTAGGCATCTTCCATCCTCGTTCAGTTTTTGAAGGATTCAGGTTGACAAAGGAAAAATAAAGAACATGTTGCAAAGGATTTGTCTTTTGAACATCCTGTGAAAAAGCAAGTTCACTTTTTCTTAGATGTAAAGTGAATTTTATTATTAATCATGGCAGGCTGAGACAGAACATTGCAATTTTCAGCAAGCCACCTATAAATGCTAGAATAATGTAGACCAGAAAAAATCGTATATTGCATGACAATATATACTAAATTAGGCACATCTTTAACTTGAAAATGTGGTATCACTGAGTATTGCCCTCCCCAATCTATTTTGTACACTCTAGATTCCACTTTTTCTGCTTTGTTCATTTTTCCAATGATGTCCCCATTTTTAGTAAGTAGTTTTCTATTTAGACATTTTTTATATAAGTAGGAATATACCTAAGGCTGTGCTTTCTAACTGCAGTACTTATGCATTTCAAATTAAAAATTAGGACGAGGCCATTTAAGCCAGTGAATTAAATATCATTTTCATTGAGGGAATCTAAATTAAAGATAACTCAAAAGATACTATTTTATCCTCTGCTCGAACATCTCCAGTGAGATGTGGGAATCCACCATCTCCCTCAGTATTTTGTCTATTGTTAGGAACTTTTTTTCCCTAAGATGCAACCAGAATCTATAATTCTGGTTTCCTGTAATTAAATCCATTATTCTATGTCCTGTATTCCGGAAAGATGTAAATTGGTTTTAATCATATTTTGTGTGATGTCTTTTCATGAATTTGAAGAGCGCTATTATATTTCTAAACCCTTGTAAAGTTTCCCCTAAAAGATATGACTAATTTACCCAAACAAAGAGGCCACTATAAAAGTGTTGATGAGCTCCCTGCGATCAACACCCTGTCTTTATTTTGCATTACTGGGCCTATAGTCATATGCCAAATCAGCTGTCAGATCCAGAAAATATGATATTGACAGTCAGCTGATTACAGTGCTTTGCTTGCTGCAATGATTACCAGGAAATAGATACAGTATATATCAATCTTCCAGCTTCCCTTATGACATGGACCCAGCAACACCCAGTGAACAGATAGTCCTCGACTTATGACCACAATTGAGCCCAACATTTCTGTTGTTAAATGAAATGTTTAAGTGAGTTTTGCCCCATTTTTGCCACACTTGTTAAGTGAACCACTGTGTTGTTAAGTTAGTAACACAGTTGTTAAGTGAATCTGGCTTCCCCATTGATTTTGCTTGTGAGAAGGTCACAGAAGATGATCACATGACCCCGTCATGAATAGGAGCCAGCTGCTGAGCATCCAAATGTTGATCACATGACCAGAGTTTTGCTGCAACCGTCATAAGTGTGGAAAACAGTCATAAGACACTTTTTTTCAATCCCACTGTAACTTTGAACATAAATGAACTGTTGTATGTCGAGGATTACCTGTATTTGCAACCATTAGTAACAGTAAGGAAGGGAGAACAACAAGGTGTCTCTTGAGTAAGAGGGACAAAGAAACTCTCTGTATTCCTGCATGAATATGGTGCCTATGCAGTGGTGGGATTCAAATATGTGAACAACCGGTTCTCTGTGTGGATGCTGTCCATTCTGGGCCTGGGCAACAACAACAAAAAAAAATAGATACCAGTTCTGCTGAAGTGGTGCGAACTGGCTGAATCCCACCACTGTGTCTATGTGTATGGGTAGACAGAGGGAGTAAATAAGCAAATGAACTGTGGTTCCATATCCAATAACTCCTATTGCTCTTCCATAAGAGGTTTTTCAAAGCTGTGTCTAAATGTGAGATCTAATTCACTCACCCATTTCCCAGCAGAAGAGGCAAGAATTTATCACAATTCCTCTGATTCTCTATATAGTTTTTGTTGCCTTTAATATTGTATCCATAGAGATCAAGTACTATATATTAAGACAGGGAGTAAAAATAGCTGTGGAAAAAAGTAACAAAGAGAAAATAATACTTGCAATATATAAGAAGGGTATAATATGTCAGTGAAATGTAACAGTAGAACCAAAAAGAACCAGTTTAGTCTTGTGGTTCAGGAACTAGGCTAGAAAACAGCAGTTTTTCAGTTCTAATCCCAATTTAAGCATAAAAGTGGCGTGGGGATTTGGGGCCATTCACTCTCAGTCAGCCCAAACCCCACCTCACATAGTTGTTGTGGGGAAAATAAGAGGAGGAAGGAATATTAGGTATGTTTGCTGCTTTAAGTTATTTTTAAAAATACTAAACAAACAAACAAATAATATGCATATTAACATTTCAGAAAAATTGGAGTTGTCTGCATAGTCTTCCAATCCAATCTGATCAAGCAAGGCTGGAAGTAATGTTCAAATGTTGAAAGAGGCTTGTTATGAAGTGGAAGCTTGGGTTATTTTATCCCTGGTATATTTATTTGTATGTATATATGTATGAGTGTAAACTGTATAGCAAATGCTTTTCTGTGTGTTTACAAACATTGCAGGCTTCTAATATTGCTATGTTTCTGGTTATGATAAAGTCAGGCAAGCAAGAAAAACCACAATCTTTGTTGACCCAGTGTCATGTGTTTAATTCACCAAAGTACGCTACTGTCATATGTGAGAGAATTAGATGAATACTAGCTGTTTAGCAGTGTAATTTCTGTTGGAAAAAGCGGTCTGCCTTATTAAAAAGTAATGTCAATTCATTGCTTATTTAGTAAGATTGCATAAAGCTTTACATTGTCTATTCAGTCTACTAGAATGGGATTTTGTTATTACAGCAAGTTTGTAAAATTGTTTCACATTTTCATTTGAACCAATTCCCATTTATGTTGTTTTAAAATATGTACTCAAACATGAACAATTACCTCAGTATTAAGAGGGGGATTAAAGTATGCTGTAAAAACAAAAGTATAACAATGTACATATTTATTACTGAAAGCATCATTTTCCAGGCTGTTACTCCCTCTACAAGGTTCAACTCTTAGAATGTCCATCTTTGCCTGACTAAGAATTACAAAAGTGATTCCAGCACAACTGGCGGATAACTGGTTATGAAAGACTGATTTAGGACATGATCCAGGCTACAATTTTAAAGTATAAGAAGGGCAGAGAGAAACTGTAGAAACTTCTGCAAATGTAAACCAGATACTACTATTCTAATATCCTCCAAACATTCCCAGTTCTCTACGTGCCCCAAAATACAAAGAATGCTCATGTCTATCATTCTATATATACTCTTACCATCAAGTAAGTCCCATTGACCGTAGTAGGACTACTTCTGTGTAAATGTGCTCAGATTGTGCAATAAGAATATAATTCTAACAGGCAGCCTGGTATATAATTGGCCAATCTAAATCTCAGAAGGTATAGTACAGTATATTTCTGTAATTTAAAATTTTACCTGTCTACATTAATCCTTTGTATTTACCACCTCATTTCATTACATATAGACAAAACTCAAATATTTTCCATTATCTACAATCATTCACAAGAGCCAATTTGATCTAGTGGTTAAGGCAGCTAGCTAAAAACCAGG